GGCCTCCAGGAATGGGGTTGGAAACCACTGATTTAGATAATAACAAAGTTTATGCATACTATCTGAAACTATAGGAATTGTGGTTTCAGGGTTGTTTTGTTGCTTATTTACTGTAACAAAAAAGATGTGCAAAGCTTAGCTGTGAAAAACTTATTTCTGTGCTTTTCCTATTTTTATGTGATCTTTTGAGTTTAAATTTGAGTCACAGGGTTTAAATGGGAGCCTCTTAAGTTTTCATATTTTATTTTGAGCAGTGAAGATAAGCTTGTGCTCTGCTGAGTATTTTTTCCTGTATGTGTGTGAGAGAGCGCTTTACAGCACTGATAAACTTATTATGCTGGACACTAGATATCATTTACTGTAATATACCTGTTGTGACTTATTCCCTGATGTCCAGTGCATTGGACATGTTAACGGTTCTACTAAGCTGCACAAAGTTTCTTGAATTATATTTTTTATTGCTGAATTGGTGTCTGTGCACGGTTTAAGAGAGAGTGGTGGGTTGATGTGTGGATGGTGTTTTTATTATTTGTTATGAGTTAAAAATAAATATTTAACTTAATTTAATTAAATGTTTTTAAATCCCTACTGAACATATTTACCTTGTTTTGTCCTCTTTTTTTTTTTTTTTTTAGATGTGGCTTTGACATGAATATCTGCTGGTATTCTAAAGGGGGCGCTAAAGGGTCGCCCCCAGTTTTGATAATCCCGGGTTGCTATGGTCACGCAGGTTTGTTTACGCATTAAACTCGTGGCCACGAGAAAAAGATGTGTTCCCTCAACAGAAGAAGTCGAGGCCTCGACAAAACTAAGTGAACCGAACATGTCAGCTTACCGGCACCGTAGCACAGCATGTGTGTAAGACTCGAAAAACTCGTGGCCACGAGAAAAAGATGTGTTCCCTCAACAGAAGAAGTCGAGGCCTCGACAAAACTAAGTGAACCGAACATGTCAGCTTACCGGCACCGTAGCACAGCATGTGTGTAAGACTCGAATACAAATGTGAAGTAATAATTCTTATAAATAACTCGAATAAATCTTTCAGTAAGTAAAACTGGCTGTGTCTGTAGTATTAAAGACTACACAGCATTATTATATAAACTTTAAATTAATTTTTAAATGATTATTATTTTAAATTATAGTCCCTGGATTAGTAGGGTACTCTTGTAATAAAGTAATGTTAACGTTAGCGGTGGTATCAGACAGATTTTAAGTATCAATTCTGCTTAAAAAGATGCAGTCTAATCCGGTTTATATTAAGTTTACGGACCTGTTGCTACAGCCCTATTCGCACGGGGTTAGTATTACCTGGTGACCTCCAGTCATTTGTAATAATTGCGGAGGTTGTCTGTGATCTTAATCCCGTGCGAATCGGCCATGTCTGTAATTTGTAAAGTAAAAATGCCCCCGCAAATGCCCTGCCATATTTCGCCGAACACCGAGGTCCTGTGATAATATGTGCGAATCGGCATCTCTGTGATTTGCTACGACAGCAACTCCGGGGTGAGCTTCGAAGAACCAAACAATCAAAGATTTAAAAAATAACAAATCTAAGAGGATTCTGAAGATATGTGAAGCTTATACATGTACAGTTTAATTAAATGTTTTGTATTGAAGATTCAATAAACTTCAAAACAAAAATATTTGAATTCTAAACAAACCAAACAACTTTCTTATGAACTTAGTATTTATATGACGTGTATAAACACTACAGCCTTGATTAGTTCAGTCACAGACAATTCAGTAAACAGTAAATTAACATTATTATTATTATTACAACGAAACAGGCAACAAAGTTAACAAAGACACTAGCCTCAAGACAGTAACTCAAAACAGACATAGCCTACAATTTAATACTGTAGACGAAATGGTACACCCTACTAAAAGACAAACAATATGTCGAATGCTGCATATGTATACAAAAAACCGATAAAGTATTGTGTCCCCCTCACATTTTTTCTCAGTGCCTGGTAGTGATCAAAGCATCAGAACCAATGCGCATGCGCCAGAATTGAACGCAGAGAAGGTTACCCTCTAGAATACGCCGATCAGACAGTCAGTATTCAAAGTCGACTTGCTCGAAAATGGCGGCACGAAAGCGAAGTATAGTCTGGTCATTTTTCCAAGCTGAAGATGACAGAAGAGTGTTGTGTCTTCTCTGTATGAAGACGGTTTTGTATTTTGGTCACACGACAAACATGCTTCGCCATTTACGAACGAAACACCCCTCTGATTTTTCCTCGTTGGACAAAAGGAAGCCCGCGACAGATGCGGTAACCAAACGCAACGACAGTGGTTGCGTGGAAGGTATGAAACGTTCAGTGATTGCATTGTAACGTTAGTGTTTACCATCATGTACAGTGTCACGAGGTGTACACCGATGCGTCTATTAGACAGCTGGCTGGTTATGGATCTTAGAAATGATACCGGACATATGTTTTCCTTTGATTTGTGATGTTTCCCCTCCATTTTGGCCTGTGCACGTGCTTAAAATTCACCGCATGCGAGTCCAAAGCCGATACAAAGGCGCTTTATCGTTCAAAACAGCGCTCGTTGTGACTGTGAGATTCAGTATCGACTCCTCCGTAAGAACGGGTTCGTTTTACAGAGTCTTTAGTCTTAGTGATGAGAGTTTCGCTTAGGCCAGGGTTTTGGGTGGATGTCGCAACGACGCCATGTTGTTTTCGTCAAACAATTGTCTATTGCGTCGCCCATTTATAGAAGGCTAATTTTGCGTGTTTGATAGGGTCTCAAACGAATTTCCCCGACTGGAGTCGATTCGATTCGACTCGTTCAGTCAAACGAATGAATCTTTTGAATCGTGTCGCTGATTTGGATCAGCAATATACGGTGCTCTGACAGCAAGAGCCTCCCCGCCCCCTCCTGTCCACAATACACTGGACAGAAAACCTTCAACCGTTACGACCCCGTTCTGTATGAAGTATCAAATCGTATTTTGCATACGAACGATCTATGATTAGTGAATTGTACATAATGTCTGTGGTTTTCTAAAATCTGAATTGTATCGAACTGTATTTGATCCGAATTTGTCACGTGATGCACCACATGATGTCACATCCCCGGATCGGCGCGATTTTTCAAAAATTCTAAAACTAGCGGGTCATTAAGCTAAGATTATTTTTTGCTATGCCTGGTTTAATTTTACCTAAGTTATAACACGTATAGAAATAGACAGAGAGGAATAGAAACGGTTATGACATGCAGCACCTGTTGATCATGTCAGTAGTGCGCAGCTTCCAAATTCATTGCTTTTGTTGCTTAGCAACATTTTGTTCTGTCATAATGTAACGTTAGCGGAAGGCCGCTTCATTAATTTATTATTGTGTACCTCAGAAGGCCAATTTGTATTTTTAAACAACGCGTTATACATTTAGCATCTTCTGTTGAACTTACTCCCTCATTTGTTTTATTTTTTTGTTTACCTTTAGCTTGGCATAACATTTTTTACTATCCCATTGACTTTTAGTAATACATATTACTTTAAATGCAGGTTATTACAAATGTTATTTTGTGTGGTTTATTGTCTGTAATTCAGTCTGTCGTCATGCACTCTTCAAACAAGGAACACGCATTTAAAGAGAGTGTCACATGTTCAGTTAAAGTGCCTTTAGCCATGTAAAAAATATTCTGTGCATTTAATTTTTTTTATTTTTTTTCTCCATCAAGTTACAGTATTGATGGATGAGCAGCAGGTAGAGGTGGAGTCCGTGGGTGAAGATGGTGAAATGGATGGAGCCATCAAAGGGATCCTCCGTGCTGCGGCAGGGGAAGGGACAACTGTTAACGTTAGCGGAAGGCCGCTTCATTAATTTATTATTGTGTACCTCAGAAGGCCAATTTGTATTTTTAAACAACGCGTCTTCTGTTGAACTTACTCCCTCATTTGTTTTATTTTTTTGTTTACCTTTAGCTTGGCATAACATTTTTTACTATCCCATTGACTTTTAGTAATACATATTACTTTAAATGCAGGTTATTACAAATGTTATTTTGTGTGGTTTATTGTCTGTAATTCAGTCTGTCGTCAT